CCCCGTTGCCCTACAGTGAAAATCTCTCCAAAAAAAAAAAAAAAAAAGAAAAAAAAAGAAAAAAAAAAAGGATGGAAAAACAACAAAAGACACCAGGAAAAAAAGCTACAAAAGAAAAAGACAAAAACTTAGGATCTAGCTGCATTTATGGGACAAAAGTAGGAAGAGAAACCAATAAAAAAAGAGGTGACATACACCACCACTTGCTATACTGCTAAAATATATTTATATGTAGTTGTACCTCTCTAGTAGCATTTCTTTTTCTTAATACTATATACAGTCTTGGCTAAAACAAGGATGATACAAATGTGGGCTGCTAATGCCACTTGTCTTAATATGATTTTTAAAAATCCAAAATCCCAGTTTACTGCCTTTGTTCACCTTGGATCTAACACAGCCAACATTAATACCCTTTTAATCCAGAAAAGTCTAGAATGCTAATTATTTCAAACAAGCATGTATTCAATACCCATTATGAAAAAAGAAAAAAAAAAAAGGAAGGAAAAACAACAAAAAGACACCAGGAAAAAAAGCTACAAAAGAAAAAGACAAAAACTTAGGATCTAGCTGCATTTATGGGACAAAAGAAGGAAGAGACACCAATAAAGAAAAGAGGTGACATACACCACCACTTGCTATACTGCTGAAATATATTTATATGTAGTTGTACCTCTCTAGTAGCATTTCTTTTTCTTAATACTATATACAGTCTTGGCTAAAACAAGGATGATACAAATGTGGGCTGCTAATGCCACTTGTCTTAATATGATTTTTAAAAATCCAAAATCCCAGTTTACTGCCTTTGTTCACCTTGGATCTAACACAGCCAACATTAATACCCTTTTAATCCAGAAAAGTCTAGAATGCTAATTATTTCAAACAAGCATGTATTCAATACCCATTATGGGTCTAATATGTGGGAATAAAAATCTGTCTCTGGTTTTCAAGGAAATTAAAATACACTTGGACTATTAAAAAAATTGAATGTAAAACAATTACAATCCACTTAAGATCTGACCTATATGATCCAGATCAAATACCATTTCTCCTGTTGAGAATTTATACCATATAACTCCTATCAATCTTTTTGTTTGTTGTTTTCCAACTGCAGGTTGACAGAGGAGCAAAACTCAACATAGTTACACTTCCTATTAAAGGTCTAATCACACTACATAGTAAATTTTGCCTTATCTATCTTTTTTCTTCAGTATTCCAAAAAGTCTCAATAATCTTTGTATCTAATGTCTGGCATATTAGCCATACAGTTAAATGTTTGTTGAGTGAATGAATGGATCAGAAGCCAAGCTAAACCCAGGACAATCGTATCAATATTTTTAATTCTTTCCTATGGTAAATCCCAAAAGTTTTAAGGTTCACACAGCTATCTACGGCCTTTGACCTAGCCTTGACACCACTCTCCACTGGTGACTATCACTGGTGACTGATATTAAAGACTTGCGCTATGTCAAGGCAAAGACTCAGAAAAGTCCCAGTAAATTCTGAAACACTTTTAGATAAGAGGAAGAAAAGAGAGTCTAGTACAATGCTGAAACTCAATGGGACAGATTTCCAAATCACTAATAAGTTCATTTCTGTTGATTAATTCTCTTGGGGCCATAATCCCCTTTAATAACTCCAGCCCCCAGTGAAAGGAAAATTACCTTAGTATGTAAACCATACAATCAGTAGAGTGTACATACTAATCCTCTAGAGAGCTTATTAAAATGAAAATTCAAGAAACTACATCTGGAGTAGGCCTGAAATTCTGTAACCAATTCCCAAGTAATGCCATGCTGCTGGTCAGCAACCACACTTTTCCAGCATCAAGAGCTTGGAGGGCATGGGAGCAGGTCGTGGTACAGAGGTTAAACACAATGCTCTGCAAAGCAATGCTGCGTGGGAAGGTTCCAGGTGCAAGTCCAGAGACCAACCTTACTAAGTATGCCACGCACATGAGCTCCCATGATCCAGGACTGGCAGAAGGTTGGGAGTGCTGTTTCTCTCTTACTAAGGAAATAAATAATCAAATTTAAAACAAATGAAAAAAGAACTTGGAGGGCATTACGGAGAATGTGTACCTAGTCTTAAAGCCATAGTTAAGATATTCCTTTCCAACCCAGCAGGTGGTGCAGAGGACCCCACACGGTCGACTTCAAGGTTCAAGTCTTTAACCTACCCGTTTAAAATTCGCAGGCATACATGCAAACGTGCCCAAAATCAAAAGAGGAGAATGGAGAAGGGTTAGTGGCGTGGCCATTTCTCATTGGGGGTGGTTTCTCACATTCTCTCTCTCTCTCTGTCTCCCTTCAATGATCATACAGGCCCTATACAAAAATCTAAAAAAAGAAACAGAAAAAGAGAAAGAAGGACTGACAGACTCAGGAAAGAAAGGGTCTCTTTCTCCCACTTTTCCTAGTTGGATAACATTAGATAAAGTCGTTTTAGTGGTGTGGCCATTTCTCATTGGGGGTGGTTTCTCACATTCTCTCTCTCTCTCTGTCTCCCTTCAATGATCATACAGGCCCTATACAAAAATCTAAAAAAAGAAACAGAAAAAGAGAAAGAAGGACTGACAGACTCAGGAAAGAAAGGGTCTCTTTCTCCCACTTTTCCTAGTTGGATAACATTAGATAAAGTCGTTTCACCGCTATGAACCTTCCTTTCCATCAATAGAAATAACTTAGTTAACACAATAGGTAATAACATAGTTTAATTACAGTATCTAACACTTATTGAATGCTTATCTGAAATTGTTTCATATTTATAAACTTATGAATAGGGCTTATGTTAACCTACCCAAGTAGGTAAAGTACTTAACTAAGATCTAATTCTTGGCAGTTTGACTAAAGAAAACAAGTGGTTTACTACTATACAACATTGCCCCTCCAGCTTAGTTCCCAGAGTCACTATGTTGATTAAATAATAATTAGTATTTGGGCAAATTTTAAAAACATATTTATTGCTATTATTATTTTTTTTAATTTGCTATAGAGCACCTATGCTCACCAAACAAACACTGACAGACTTAGAGAGAGACAGAGACAGACAGAAACAGGAAGCTGCCAAGACCAGTGCTCAATCCACGCCGGCCATGCGGGAGTCCAGCGCCTTAACCGCGCCACCTGCTGGCCCTAGCCAACGTTTTTTGAGCACTCATACACTTCCAGGCCCTAGCCTACCCTCCCTTGAAACACATTAACCCATTCATCTTTATAATAACCCAGGAGATGTTATTATCCCCGCTCATATTTTTTTTAATAAGCTAGAACAAGTCAAGTAGCCCAAGGTCAAAAAGTGGCACAGTCAGGGCCGCCCGGAAACCGCGGTCGAACTCAGAGCCCAGCGTTCTTCTGCCAAATGAAACCATCCCTGAGGTCTGAGTCAGCTCGCGGGCGTGGCGGGGCGCGCCCACAGTCCCAGCGCAAACCGCGTCTACACTTAGCGTAGCGTTTGTCTCTGGGCCCGCGATCTCGGCCCACCTCCCGGACCCCGCGAGCGGGCTACGGTACTGGGGAAATAATTCGTCTGAAGAAGGGCTGACTGGGTAATCATCTTTACAACGGAGACACACTAAAACTGTAACATCCATTTAATCCGAAACTTTCACATGCTGCAACCCCAAGAACGTGTACCGACTCGCGGCCCCACGGGACTGCCCCGCGCCGCGAGCGCGGCACCCTGGGAGCTGCAGTCCGGTTCGGATCCCAGAACTTGTAGTCCAGGGTCCTCGCCCAGCTCCGCCTACTTCCCGAAGTGAGTCCTAAGGGCCCGCCTCCAATCCCATCGGCTCTCCAACATCGCCCCCTGCAGGCTTTTCCTCTAGTTGCCCGGGTCGTTACCTAGTTCCGAATGCTCCGGAAGCGAATCTTTCTCTTCCGGATTGAGCGTCCGGCGTCCGCACGTGGTTGTGCTGCCGAGGTTTGAGAAGCCGCTGTGGGAGAATTAACTTAACTGCAGTCCCAAAGCGAGTGAGCTGAGCCCGAGCCATGGAGGGCCAGAGCGTGGAGGAGCTGCTGGCAAAGGCAGAGCGGGCCGACGCAGAGAAGCTGCAGCGCATCACGGTGCACAAGGAGCTGGAGCTGGAGTTTGACCTGGGCAACCTGCTGGCTTCCGACCGGAACCCCCCGACCGGGCTGCGGTGCACCGGGCCCACGCCGGAGGCCGAGCTGCGGGCCCTGGCGCGAGACAACACGCAGCTGCTCATCAACGAGCTGTGGCAGCTGCCCACGGAGCGCGTGGAAGAGGCGC